CCCTGCTTGTCGCTGCTGTCGCTGCGGTGGTCCCTTCCCTTCCGTCGCTGTCGCTTCCCTGCTGTCCCTCTCCCTTCTTCCTTCCCGTCGCTGCTCGCCGCCGCGGCGGGGTCCTCCTCCCGTCGCCCTCTCTGTGGCCGTCGCGCTGTCCAGGGCCTCCTCCGCCGCCCATGCCCTCTTGCCGAGCCGTATCCAGCTCTGGCCACGGTTGGGGGGGGGGGGGGGGGGGGTGGGCTCGAAGGCCAGAAAAGGATGTCGCTGTCAGCTGGAGGAGGAGGAGAGGGGGAGAGGAGGAGGCGGAGGAGGGGGAACTGGGAGGTGGATGAGGGACTACGACATTGCTCGCGTGATGGTGGCGAGGAGAACGGGGAGAAATGGGCGCGGGCAGGAGGGCGAGGAGGGGGCTGAGCAGGGGGGGGAGGAGGAGGAGGAGGAGGAGGAGGAGGAGGAGGAGGAGGAGGAGGAGGAGGAGGAGGAGGAAAAACATGGGGTTTGGAAGTGGACTCGCGATCAGGGCGAACATCGGGAGGGCGAGGAGGAGGAGGAGGAGGAGGAGGCGGAGGAGGAGGAGGAGGAGGCGGAGGAGGAGGAGGAGGAGGACCAGCGTGAAGCCAAGACGCATCAGCGATGTTGCAGTAAACCTTCCGAGTTCCCTTTTCATAGGTCCCTACAACAGTTTATTTTCACTGCGCGAGTTCTATCATGCCAAAACACCAGCCTTGGGACTTAGACGCCGCGAATCTACGTTACAGTCGGCCTTGATTCGTAGGTCGACCCTGCCAAGTCATGGGTACCCTTCTGTCCTGTCTTTAAAGACCTGTGTCCCGGAGGAGCCTTGTGTCCTCTCGCGTGCCCTCTCCAATCAAACCCGGCTGTACTGTTGCGTCCTTTCGATTGTGAATCGTGCCAGATCACCATTCTTGGGTCTGTCGACGTGACTGTTGCGCCCAGACAATCCCATACGACTCCTTGAATTCATAACAGACTGTTATAACGAATGTGCGCGGCGCGAAGGCGAGGGCCACGCTTCGGAAACCAGCCGCCATCCATCTTTGAAGCTCGTTTAAACCTTAGAGACACGCGTGCTTGGCGCTAAGGGGGGAGCCACAATCTAAAAACCACCAGGTCCCCATCAGCGAAACTCTTGCAAACTTTTGCAACGAATGTGCGCGACGTTACGGCAAGTACCACATTGTGAAAACCACCCGCCCTCCATCCTTGAAGCTTTTGCGACTGTTTAAAACGAACGCGCGCGGCGCGAAGGCGAGAGCCACATTGTGAAGACCGTCTGCCCTCCACCCTTGAAACCCATGCGAAGTGCAAAGACGAATGTGCGTGGCGCTGAGGCGAGATCCGCATGGCACACACGGCCCGCCTTCCGTCCGTGGAGCTGTTGCACATCTGAAGTTTCAAGTTGATGCGTGGCGAGGAAATCTCCGGCGAAACGCCCGCCCCCCCCCCCCGTGCCGACACGTCTCGGGGTGCGACGGGAAGGAGCTGTTTGTATGGAGAAGGGATGGGCGAGGAGGGGGGGGAGGGGGGAGGAGGAGGAGGAGGAGGAGGAGGAGGAGTTGAGGAGGAGGAGGAGAGAGTAGGAGGAGGAGGAGGAGGAGGAGGAGGAGGAGGAGGAGGAGGAGGAGGAGGAGGAGGAAGAGGAGGAGGAAGGAGGAGGAGGAGGAGGAGGGGGTGCGGGTGGGCGAAATTCACGAATATGGTGGGGGACGGGTGATGGCGACAACGATGAAGGAGAACCGGGAGAAGGTGGTGGAGGATAATGACGTGGAGGCATACCACGTGGTGAATACATGGGGGTGAGGAGGAGAGGGGGGGGAGGAACTGGAGGGGCAGGAGGAGGAGGGGCAGGAGGAGGAGGGGGGGGGAGGAGGAGGAGGAGGAGGAGGAGGAGGGGGAGGAGGAGGAGGAGGTGGAGGAAGAGGAGGAGGAGGAGGAGGAGGAGGAGGAGGAGGAGGAGGAGGAGGAGGAGGAGGAGGAGGAGGAGGAAGAGAAAACAGCGCCTGTACAACCACGCGCGGCGGAGCACCATTCGCGTGAGTCTGCCCACGTAAGTGACCGAGGAGGCTGGGCCCATTAGAGCTCTCCGTTTAACTTGCCATTAATTTTTCAACAGCGCGCCATCGCGAGGGAAGAACCCACAAAACTCAAGGCGGCCCCCACGGAGCCGTCTGCCACCCAGGAGTCCAATGCTGTCGGCACTGCCTTCTTCTATTTCGGTCAGTCACTCTTCTCGGGCCTGGACGATTACGAGGACAGCACGAACGAGTCTCCACTGCAGTGGAAGGCGGAGATCGAGAGGCACCAGAAGGAGCCACTGGAAGGCCAGCAGGGCTTGAACAGCTGCTCTCGGAGGTCCGCAAGGCAGTGGAGGCCCCAGGAAACAAGAGACGGAACGCTAAAGATGGTGAAACAGTCCCAGGAAGGTGATGGTTTGTTATTCATTGTTTTGCCGATCGGCGCGGTCCCTCGCCCCCCCACCCGTGGAGTAGACCTTGGCTGTTCTTTGACGCCTGTTTCGAGCAGGTGGGGGTTCCCCCGTAGGACGCACTGTTACAAACAACCGCGCTAAGCAGATGTCCGCAGCCAGACCCCCCCCCCCTCCTCCAACCCTCCTTCCGCCCAATGTCGAAACGCCGAATGAGAAACAAACGCGCGCAAAAAAAAACGCTAACAAGGAAAAACAAAAAGGGCTGCTGCAGCGGCATACCCTTCAGCTGCCTCAGGAGCGGCCTCCTCGGCAGATGGGGTCAGGAAGGTTTCCCTGGAGGCGGCCGAGCTTACGTCCGAGGGCAGGCCCACAATTCTTGAAGAGACCAAGGCTACTCTGGGTTTCTTAATAAGCAATTTGGGGGGGGGGGGGGGGGGGGGGGGGGGGCCCCTCCGACGGGGGTCAACCTCGCTTCGTCGTCGCGCCGCGACGGGGGTCGGAGCGCCTTCGGCGCGCGGTGGCTGCCCGCGACAGGGGTCGATGTGGGGCTGTCGGCGGGGGTGACGCCGCCCCGACGCTTATTAGGAAGCTCGGAGTAATCGTCGGGCTGCTGCTAATTCTCCTGAGTCTGGTGCTGCTCGCAGCCCTCCAGCCTCGGGCGATGGGCATAGTCTCGGATGAGCCAGTCCTCTCTGGGGGCACTACACACCGTGGGGCCCTCGCGCGGCCCGCTGCCTCCACAGCGCCAAACAGCGCCACGAAGCTGCCGCGCTTGCCGAGACCCGTGTCGAGGCGGCGCGCGCCCCTCACGAGCGCGGCTTGGCTCCTGAATGACGATTGGAAGTTGGCAGCCACGGCACCGTTTCGAAGGAGTGCAGGTTTTTCAGCCGGCGAGCGGGTCTTGGCCCGCTCGCATGCTGCTGGCACTGCCCTCTCTTCGTTGCAGCTTGGGGTGACTGGGATGACGCATTCAGAGGTTTCGTGCCGCTCGTGTGGCACATCTGGTCGGGTAGCGTACCCAGCACATCGACATACTTACTACCAGGCCGTGGCATTCAGCGGGAGATCGAAGACATTAGGACGGCCCTCGCCATTTGTGCGCATATGATGACAGCCCATTGAGAAGTAGTAGGAGGTTGGGGCGTGTCCCAATCAGTTCGCGAGGGCGCGGAGTGGCTCAGCAACATGAGCGCGGAACTTGTTGTTCCGTCAAACGTGTTGGCGACTTGCGACCAACGCGCGCATCGTGGCATGTATGATTATGCGTTAGGCAAGAAAGCGTATCACCAGCGCGGTCCTACGGTTTGAGTCACTGATGTCATTGGGGTGCGCATTGCGGTGTTGAGGTTTGGTCAACAAATGATGACATCGCTCGCTCTCCCTCGCCCACTCACTCCCTGGCAGCGCGCGACGAGCCCAAAGCGAAGCTGAGACCTGAAGACGAAACTTCTCAAGCGAAAGCTCATCGGGAAACGAGAGGATTGGCGCCCCCCTCCCAGGAACTCCAGGACCCAATGATCGAGATGGGGGGCGGATGATCACAAGGTGGGGGAGCCCCCAGGTTTTTACATCCAGGAGGAGGAGTGGGGTTGGGCATGGGGCCCCCGCAGTTTACCATGGCAGCAGCGTCAGATTTCTCCTGGCACCCAATCCCAGATACCCCGGTGTTGCTCAGGGCCGAGGGCCAGAAGTTCATTGATTCTCAACCTGGGTTTGGCATTGCGGCCCTGGAAGAAACTTATTCTGGCTTGCGAGAAGGGGAGGGCGCTGCAATGGAATTGCTACATGTCATCGCTGGGTCGCACTCGTATCCGAGACCCCGTGCGGAGAGAAAAAGTGCCATGTCAACCCTGATCGCCAGGCGCAGGAAAATGGCAGGCAAGCAGTTGGATTGGGGGCAGCAGCGCCGAGCGTCCTGCATCTACCAGTCAAAATTGTAGCAGCGAGTCCTGAGTCATGCTTCGGCGAGCACGGACGCAATGATCGGTGGCAGTGGACCGAGATGCCCAGGGAGGTGGTGGAGACGTTGGTCGTTGAGTGGCATATGGTGTTCGCGGCGGAGATCCCCTTTGCTCAACCTAAGGGCCGACCCCAACATGATCGCGCGTTGTTCATCGCGGGTGATTCAAATCTTGACCCGGGCGTGGCCGAATTAATCCAGCGAGCGCCGCCATCTTTGTGCTGCCCTGCTCCAGAGGTTCCTGTGGGACTCCCCGCCGAGGTGTTCCGCGGCCTGCTCCCGCCGGCCTCGGGCAGGGCGGGGGCCGCTTGCGGGCCCGCAGCCAGAAACGCCTGAAACAGCCTCCCATTATCAGTTGGATGAAGTTATGGAGCCAGCTGGAAGTCATGCTGGACAAGCGCAAAGACGGGGATCACTAATCTTGATGGTGGGGGCGACTTTCGATCGACATCAGCATCCGGAAGAACGCCGTCAGCGGCCAGTTCCTACTTCCATGGAGTTCTTAGATAGGGTTGCCACCCTCATGGGGAAGTCGGAAAAGCGGGCTCGGGCTCGAGCCTTGTCGACAGGACACCAGCAATTCACCGCCTGGGCCAGGCGCGCGTGGATGACCAGATCAGGATCGTTGCGCAAGCACGTCACAGACAAAACGCCTGCTGCGGCGGATACCCAGGGCACGGCGAACCGCGTCGAGATCATGAGGGCCAGGCAGCAGCATTGGGAAACACATTGGACTGACAAGGTGGACATCACGGAAGATCTACTGCACGAGTTGTCGGGGTGCCTCGAGAGGGCTCCGCGGGATGCTCTTTTTCCCTTCCGACATCGCAACGTTGACACAGCCGCTGCAATAATGCCATCTCGTAAGGCGAAAGGAGTGGGTCATACTTGCGTCAATGATGTGGCTCGTCTTCCCATGTCTGGCAGAATGCAGTTGGTGGGCTTGCTGAGTGACCTGGAGATGGTTGGTGCGTGGCCGAGTTGGCCTCGCGCAGCGGTCGGGGCCTTGGCGGCGAAGCCGCGATGGGGAGATCGTGTTCTGGGGCTTTTACCGTCGACAGGCCAGGCCCGGAGTCGGGCGCGCTCTGGCCCCGCTTCAGAACGGCCCCACATTCTGAGTGCGTTTTGGGAGACGGCGTCGCAGGGGTCGTCGGCGTTCAGCAGCGTTCGTGAGATCGCTTCTGGATGAAATGGGTTACGTCAACGCCAAGCACTTCGTTGCTTCATTATCTCTTCGCGCGCGCTGCCGTCAAGGTTGGATGCCCCTCCATCACCGTGTTCTCGGAGGCCGAGATGCGCGTCGCTCCCAGGTTTCCAATGGTGAAGGGCTGGGTTAGCGACGTGGTAGCTGTTGCGCGACTACAGCTGCGATGAGGGCGGGTCGAGAATTCAAGGGCGCTCGCTGTCCAAGAATTTCGGTTGTCTATGATAGGGCGGACCTCGTCGCTTCTTTCAGAGGTCTTTGTCAGCGTTGTGCGCGGTTGCTTCGTCGGTCTGGACCCCCCGTCGACGGCGCAGTATTTGCGGCAGATCTCGGGGTCGATGTCGTCTCGGGTGGGGCTTGGTGCAGCGGAGGGGCTGGCCCGAGGAAGAACGCGGCTGACCGTGGGTGCGCAGGTTTGCGCGGGTTTGTGGGGTGTGGGCGTTTAGCCGCAGGGTTGCTGCGGGCGCCGAGTTCCAGGCTCGCCTCCTTGTCGACGCCTTCATGCGCGGCGGCGAGCTGGGGGCGCAGTTGCGGGCGCCAGAAGAGGGCGCTGCCTCGCGTCGGTTCTGGAGGCGACCATGGGCGATAAGGCGCCGGGGCTGGAATTGCAGCGACAACTGGTGCGGGGGCGGCGCGCAGCATGGTTTTAGAGATGCGGGCCATTCTTCGGCGTGTTCACGTTCAGGAAGAAACGCAAAGAGGTGAGTCACAGGACAAGTCTCATGTATTGTGGCAATATTTGTGGAGGTGGGGTGTTCATGTCCCAGCCCGGACAAGTGGGTTTGGCACGCGGGCGATTGACCAGTTGATTGGGTATTCCCAGCATGTGGCATTCCAGAGTATGTACATGCAGGTTGACGCCGCCCAGATTGTTGACGACGGTTTCGGATTCGCGGCGTCGGTTGTGACGGAATACAAGCGAGTTCGAAGGGGCGGGTGATCTCTCGCGAGGAGCGGATCTCTCACAGGTCACCCGCGGGCTCTGCAAGTTCGAGCAAAAGGGCGACATGGAGAATTTGGGCCTCGCGCTCGCTGTCTGCGCTGGTAGGCAATGGGCTCGGGAAGCAGAGTGGGCGCGGGCGTGGATCTTATTTTGCAGGCGTTGCCAACAGGCGTCAGAGACACTGGCGCGCAGGATCTGGCAGTGCTTTGCCCATTCTGAGCATGAGGTCTTCAGCAGAAGTGACCATCTCATCCCGCGCGCTCTGGCTAGTTATCGCATTGGGCCCAGTTTATGGCTGCGCGGGGTGACCCGTGAAAAGCAAGCGGTCCCTGTGTTTGAACAGGGTTTGCGTTTGTCTTGGGGCTTGCTTTTCGTAGGGGGCCCCAGGGCCGCGGTCTCGGATCTTCAGGTTTCCGAAATTATTGTAGTGGCGTTCGGAGGCGGCTCCGGGGGGCGATTCATTTGCGTCCCCCGTGGGCGGAGATGTGGTGCTGGAGTGGCCCTCGTGGAGCGATCCCCTGAATCCCCCCTCTTTGAGTGGAGCGTGGTCTGGGGGGCTTCCGCTCCGCTGGTGGGTCATCGCCGATCTGTTTCCCGAGCTGAGCTCCTAGCCTTGTGCGTGGCACTGGAATTAACCAGCGGCGCAATCTTATACATTATGGCTCCCCCTGTGCAAGGCCTGGCAGCCGGGCAGGTGTAGGAGATCGCCCCAGAAGGTGGCTGACTCTCATTTGTGGAACGGAATCCGAATCGCTGTGGCCATGCGCGGGCGCCTAGTAGATATCCAGTGGATTGCATCTGATCTAGAGAATGGGGAGGTTGGAATCCAGATTGCGCAACAGGCGTTCAGGTCTCCAGGTGCTGCTGCGGCGGGCTCTCTCGCCTCCAACGCCGCCGACAGAGGCTGGGAGTTGGCCGCCGCGCGTGGTCAGACCCCTCTCACTGGCGAGGTGGGCGCCGTTGCTTGGCTGATTTCGAGGCGCGCTCGTCAAGTTTTGCTCGCCCCCGCCGCCGTCGACCCCCGGGAGACGGAAGCGGGCGGGACCGTCCCTCCCCCGAGCCTGCGCCAGCCGTCGTCGGCGGGCCGTGTATCAGCCTGCTCACAGGTTCACCCAGAAGGGAGGGGGGTGGCGCTGCCAGCTGAGCGGCGAGATCTCCACTTCGGTCGGCCTCGAAGCGCTGTGCGGCAGGCCGTGCCCTCCCCCGCCCGCTGCCGCCACTTTCGCCACCGAGTATGTCGGGTGCCCAGGTCCGTCGGGGGTCGGGGGAGGTGTGGGTCGGAGGATTGCGTGTGTACGTCCGCGGTCAAATCTTGAGGTGAGGTGCTCATAGTCTGAAACTTTACATGTTGTGCGATGTTTGTGGCACCGTGGACGGCAGCCACTATGCCAGGCCGTGCCTTCCCCATGGTCCAAGAAGGGACAGCATAATCTTGTCCGTGTTTCCTTCGGTCGCCACCATTGCCGTCAAGGGGCTTCTGAGGCGGCACGGGTTGCTCTGTAAGGGGATTTTGGTTTGGTCCTTCTTTTGCGAATGCTGAGGACCTCCCTTTTCGGCGGCGTAGAGGCAGGGGTCCCCATGGGTCACTCCGCGGTCATTTATTTGCTGTTGCTTCTTCTGCGCCTCTTCCGCGTCCTCCTCTTTCCTCTTCCTCCTCCTCCTCCTGTTCCTGGTCCGGCTCATCTCCTCTCGCGCCGCCTTCCGAGTCACCTCTTCTCGGGGCGCTGCTTTCCAAGTCACCTCTTCTCGGGGCACTGCCCTTCCTTCCCTTGCCTTTCGCCTTCGCGTTCGCCTCCTCCCCTTCCTCCCTCCCGCTCCCCTTCCCCCTCCCCCTCCCCCTCCTCTCCTGGCCCCTCCCCCGTTTCTTTTTCCCCCGTCCCCTAGTCCCCTTCCCCCCCTACTGCCCGTCCCCATTTTCCCCCCTCTGCTGCTCTTCCGCCAGGTTCTTCGCTCTCTCCTTCATCCCCTGCTTTTCCTCCGTCCCATCCTTATCCTCGTTGCTCTACTTCCTGCCGCCTGCGGAAAGTGGAGGTGGTCCGCTTCTGCCTGCAGCACACTCAGGCGCCGCCGGTTGGCTCGCTCCCTGCGGAGGGGGGAGCAGGAGAGTAAAGAGGACGAGGGTGGGTACTGCTCGGGCGTAGGTGGAAAGACGATGTTGATGATAGCGACGACGATCACGGCGATGCTGATGCGGCTGTTTGTGATTGCGAAGGCCTTACGGCCGTTGCCGCCGACCCTGAAGATGACGAAAGACAACACGAGGGGGGGGGCAGGAGAAGGAGGAGGAGGAGGAGGAGGAGGAGGCGGAAGGAAGTAGGAGAAGGAAGGGTGAAGGGGGAGGAGGAGGAGGCCTTATGGATGTTGGTTGGGATCTCGTGGTTGACCTCTCGGGGGCGTCTGGAAGGCAACTTGAAGCCTCTTGGGGGCCGTTGTGGGGCCTCTTGGGGCCTCTTTTGGGCCTCTTGGGGCTTCCGGAGGCCGTCTTCGGCGCATCTTGGGGGCGTCTTGGCGCCGCTTGGGGGCCTCTTGGGGCCTTTTGGGGGCCTCTTGGGGCTTCCCGGGGGCCTCTGAGGGCGGAAGTTTCGAATTCTCGGTTCCTCGTCCCCCTCTTGGCCGTTTCTTGGGCCCGTCTTGGGGCCCTATTGGGCCGTCTTGGGCGCCTCTTGGGCTCTCCTGGGGCCTTCTTGGGCCATCTTGGGGCCCTCTTGTAGGCCTCTTGGTGCGCTCTTGGGGGCCTCTTGGGGGCTTCTTGGGCCGTCTTGGAGTGTCGGGAAGCCGAAAAGGCGAGAAGGCCAAAATCATTCAAAAACCTATGTAAAATTGACGATTTTGGCTCCTGGACTTTAAACGGAGAAGGTTAAAGGCGAGGTATAAATCGAGCATGTACCGCTGCCGTGCCTGGCTCAAGCCGGGCCCGGCCAAATATATGACTGTGCCTCACTGAGGCGCACGACTTGCATCAGAGATCAAAAAATACCTTTTCCATTGACGATGCCCATCCTATCCTTTACTCCAGATCCCATGTTTCGTCTTGCACTCTTGCTCATGCGATATGAGCCAAAGCCTGGGATATGGCAACGCTTAAAGCGTAACACATACCTAAGCTTACCAGCTTGTTTTCGACTTGGTAGCGGAGCTGGCTACACTCTCGTGTGGCTGGCTCTCGCTCTGATTCCTGTAATCCACGGCACAACTTGGTGGACTACTACTACGGTGGAATACCATGTTGCGCCGGCTCTGCGAGGAGCGGAGCCAGTCCGCGATCGAGCTAGCGGGGCAACCCGCGAACTCGAGACGCTCTCTCCTACTTCACTGCGCTACTTCACTCCCGACTTCCACCAGATGCCAATCGGCAACTCGATCGAGAACGTGGTCACCCTGCGGGGCTACCCGCAGCGGGGCCACCTGCATCCCGTGCCAGTCAGGCGCCTCACGGCTACTACGCCAGAGCCTGACAAACCACAGCCTAAACCAATCACCGAAGCCGAAATGCACATGCATTGGATCAAGATAACTATATTCGGCATTCTGTGGGTAATAATGGGATGTGCTGTGGGATACATGCGGCAGGGGATGGACGACACGCGTACTACTGGCCCTTCATGGGACCCTGCCGGTACTACGCCTTTTCGCGAATACGTTCGCG